CAAAATTTACCCGTATAGTGGAATAATTTAGATAAAATTTTAATAATAATAATTAATATTTATTTTCAAACAAAAAAATAAAAAAATAAAAAATTTTGGTTTAAAATATTTGACAATTATCTAAAGATGAGATTTTTAGAAATTTCAAATGATAAATTCGTAAGAAATCTCTAAGTGGGAAATTTCTTTAAATTTGTCTCAAATGGTGGAAGAATTTAAATAAAATTTTAATAAAAAATAATTGCAATATTATTTTCCTCCCAAAAAAAAAAGAGAAAAAGAATTTCTAAATAGGTCCAAATTGTAGAGAATTTAGAAATTCAAAAGAAAAAATATTTTTAATTTGACTCAAATAATAAAATAATTAGATATATATTTTTTAAAGTAATAATAATAATAATAATTAAAAATTTTTTTGACGACAAAGCCTCTTGAAAAAAACAAATGAAATTCTTGAATACTTTTGAGGTAAAAAAATATTTTAACAATTCTACTAGATTGATGGAAGAATCTTATAGATTATTTCTGATATTTCAATATAAAAATTTGAAACCATTAAAATCAATATCCTAGAATAAATTTAAAATAAAATTGTATCATCTTTTAGATGGGCATGTGGGGTGCTATAACTTTTTCCATATGTAACTGAACTTTCGAACTATGTTTTGATTAGTAAACCCAAACTTATTCTTTTAGGGACCTTAGTCAAGCTTAAGAGCTCCTTAAAAAGATAGATTCCTTAAGTGACCAATCACATCTAGATAAAAAAGATTGTTGGCGATTTTATTTATTAAGTCTAGCTATAAATTTTCAAATCTATATGTTATGACAATTATAAATGAATTTCTCTTTGTGAAGAAAAGACAAATGGATTTCTTTTTGTGAAGAAATATAAAATGTAATATAATGAAAATATTCAAAATTAAAATGACCGAATAAATTATAATTTATTCAAGTAAAAACAAAGTCTTTTATTTAAATTCTATTGATTTTGCTTGCCTAATTAATATGGGAGTTATATTATAATTCAACATCATAACTACAACGCTTAGGAGTCTTACAGAATCGAAAAATTTATCAATAACAACATTGCTAAATATAATATCTTTCACAAACCTCTGATGCTCCAATTTTTTTTTTAAATTGTGTTTAATAACAAAAAAGTAAAATGTTGGGAGAAAATAGTGTTTAGGGTTTATGAGAGATTATAATTTAATAAAAGAAACTTTACACATATAATGATTCAATTTTTTTAAAAAAATTTATTTAAATTATTATTTAAAAAATATGATATGGTATTGACATGTCATTGACATGGCGTAAATACCTATTTTAAAGAAATAAGTTTTAAATTAGGAATAAAGATTTTAAAAACCATTGTTGTTGGAAAAACTTGGAAAAGATGAATGGAGTGCTGACATGGCATATGCTTGGTTTAGTACCCTTATAAGGGAAATAAGTTTAAAATTGCCTTTATTAAGGAATAAAATTTTTAAATTACCCTTGAGAAAAAACTCAGCTGATCCTTAATAGGAGAAACAGAAGAGCAAATTTTGTATATTTGGGCCGAGGCCTGAGTATTTTTCTCTTCTTTCTTTCACTCGGGCTGCCGCCTTTAAAGCCATTACGGGTTCTTAAATTTTGGGCCTTTATTTTTGACCAGCCATACTTAATCGATTTTTCACTTTTTTATTATTTTAACTTTTTTTTCTAAAATAATAAAAAAGTAATTAAACTTTATTACTTTAATTAGATAAATCTTTATATTTTTATTCTATCTAAATAAGTCATTATCCTTTACTTAGAATCTAAATAAACCTTTATTTTAAATGAAAGATTGTTTTATATTAAGAGCTTATTTAGATATAAATAAAAAATTAAAGATTTATTTGAATATAAATTAAAAGTTAATGATTTATTTAAATACAAATTAAAATTTAAAAACTTCTTTGAGTGTAATAAAAATATAATAATTTATTTAAATAAAATACTAAAATTAAAAATATATATTATTTTAACATTTTTTTATATTAGTAGCAATATGAACGCAATTGATACTAGACTTTAAAATTTTCACTATTAATAAATGTGATAATTTTATATATATATATATATTTAAAAATTTTATGAAAATTTTTTCTATAATTCTTAATCCAATTGAAAATTTTTTTAAATGAAACATAAAAATTAGAATCTTTCTATTAAAATTATGAAATAATTAACCACTCAGTTATTCTTCCAATTTTTAGGTATTTTATTTAAATATGTAGCTAGAAAACTATTTTTTTCCTTATTTGTACCATTGAGAGTTGAGAAAAACATTGAGATAAGATATTTTTTATAAAAAAAATTATTTGAAATAGTGATAATGGTTTTTTTAATTTTATAAGTGAGATTAATATAATAATACATATCTTATTTTTTAATTAATTTTTATTTTTTAAAATATATATTATCATCTTAATTTTACGTATAAAATTAAAAAATTTATTATCACTATATTTGATAATTTTTTAATTTTTTCCACTCAAAGAATTAAAGAAAGGGAACATGTGAAGAAAGAAAATATCCAATTGAAAATCCTCGATCGCACGTGCAGAAACCCCAAAAAGGAATAAAATTAGTTGAAAACCACTAAAACGAGTTCATAATTCACAAAACTTGGTTGAGTGGTGACCACTGCATTTACTGCCCCTGCTTGCCTTTCCTTATGCATTCCATGGCACGTGCTTTCTAGACGGGATACCAATGTTTGTCCCAATTAAATAATCACAAAAATAAATTGTAGCACAAATTATAGGCTTCACCGACGTACGGAAAATGCACGTAATGTACGGATATTTAACGTCAACTTCTGTTAACTAAAAATATAAATAACATATTAATTCTCACGAATTATTTAAATTATTTAAATAAAATTTAAATTTAATTTGATTATTATTAAGTTGAATTTGATATCAACTAATTTTATTTATTAATTTAATTAAATTTAAGTATTTTAATATTCGACTCAAATAATTCATGAATCTAATCATATTTTTATATTTTAATTAGTAAAATAATTTAAATTCGGATATAAATAATTAAATTTTTATCGAATATAAAAATTAAATTTATTTTTACATATTAATTGAGTCTAAATGAGTTAGTTTAAATAGTTTGATTTCTATTGTAAATCAAACTTAAGCCAAAAAAATAAAATTTGATCAAATTTAAACTGAATTTCAAATCTTAAATTTAAAATTAAGCTCAAATTTAATATTATATCAATTTAAACTCGATCAATTACATTCTTAAAAATAAGATAGTGTATGACTTGTAAATTTTAAGAGTATATAGCACAATGATTTCTGAATTTTGAGTAAAATCTTAATTTTTAAAACATAATTTGTTAATTCTCAATTATTAAAATATGTATTGTTTTAATTTTTTTATTTGTAAAATCGATTAATCTAATATTAAATGTCAGTTGACACTACTGTATCATATGCAATACATGTTAAAATCGAGAATTAATAATTTTACAAATGAAAAAATTAAAATAATACATGTTTTGACATTTGAATTATCTATAGATTTTATTTTTTATATTAAAGATCAAAGTAACATTTGATCCAAAATTTAAGAATTATTCTTACTATTTACTAATAAAATTTTAACCCCACAAGCAAGATTAAAATAGTGACGTAAATTTTTTATATATTTTAAAAAATTAAATTAAAAAATAAGTAAAACATATGTCATTATCTTAATCACATTTATAAAATAAAAAAATTTCATTGTCAATATATCAAATAATTTCTCATAAAAAAATGTAAAACATTGTTTGGTTATTTGTTGTGTGGACGTTTTTTAGGTTGACCATCAAAATAAAAAAAAAAAAAGGGAAAATGTGATACTGATAAGGCTATAAGTTTATACACAAATTGAGAGCTTGATTCGGTATTTCGTTTAAAATTAGGTTTGATCCAAATTGTCAAATTTGATTACAAACGTAATATAAAATCATATATTATAAAATTGTGATTAAAACCTTTGATTACAAACGTAGGCAACAGCGACGAACCACCGGATTTTAGAAAACAGGGCCTGGTGGTGGTGTGTGGTTTGAACTTTGAATTATAAAGAAAGGAATAATTTAGAGAGAAAAAATTTAAAGAAAAAAAAGAAAAAATTAAAATTAAAATAGGAAAGAAATATAAAAAAAATTTGATGTTTAAGTCAGATGATACATGTCATGATTTCGTGAAATGATCAAAATGATACACGTTGCGATAATTGAAGGCTTTGAGAATTAAATCATTCATGCTATTTACTCAAATTCTAATTCCAATAAAAAAAAAATGTGAGACATTGTTTGCTTCCTTGTCATGGGGACGAATTTTAGGTTAACAACCCTAATAAAAAAAAGGGGGGGAGATGTCGTACTGATAATGCATGCTAGTTTTTTAGTTAAAGTTATTTTAATAATAATACTGCTATCATGTCATGTTTAGCATGGGTAAATTCTCTAGTAATATTAAAAAGTAAAAAAAAAAAAAAAGGCTTTTCCCCCTTAAATTCCGGCGAATTCCTCTAAATAAACACACTATTTGGCTCAAATGTATATATAAAAAAGTTAATATTTGAATATTTGATGAATTAATGGTGTATAAGTATTATTATACATTACGTAGATTTTTTTTTAATCAATTAATACATTATTAAAATTGACATTTGAAAATTATGAGTTTGAAAGAATTTATACATAATATCTTTTTCAATCAAATAATAAGATAAAAATTTTTAAAATAAATTAAAAATTAAAAAAAAATTTATTATACGTCGTTAATTAATCATACAATTATATCTCTTTAATAAATAAAATTAAAAGTAATAAGGCTTTTAAAAATAAAAAATAAATATTAATAAGTTTATTTAAGTTTAATTAATTAATAAAAGTAATTTTTTATTTATAATAATTAAATTTCAAAAAAAAAAAAAAAAACAAAGTCCTAACTTTCATTTTGCTGGGTTTTTTTTTCAAACAACTGGTATTTTACAGCAACAAAACCTATTATGCTTTCATCACATCATAAATATATACAAACGACAAGAAGATATCTCTCCGACAAGAACAATGGTGAAAAGAAGTGAAAAAAAGAAACATTCTTCTTTTCAATAACTAGATCAGTTCATCCAGACTTGAAGGTTCTTGGCCTTGCCTGAGAGATTCAAGAACACGTTCGAAGACAACGTCGTTAATGGGGATCCTCAACACTCCCCTTTGCTCGTATCCGTACTCTTGGGCTGATCTGTTGAGCAACTCCACGAAGATCGGGTGCCGGAGCATCTCTGCACTGACGATGAATCTCCGCGTCGACGTCTGATTAATCCCCGCGTAAACCGGGAAATGCCCATGCGGTACGTCCGATCTTTGCTTGGTGGCCGGATCAGGAGGCTGAGATCGAAGCATTGAGTATTGGGTCGAGTGAGTCACCCTAACTGGTGACAGTCTCCGCATCAGTTTCTTCATAACCCTTAAAAAAAAAGGACTAGCATGAATGGAGGAAGAAGAAAGCTGAGACCGAAAAAGAGAGTGCTTTCAATAGAGAGATAAACAATAAAAGAGTCTTACGGTACAAAGAACAGTACTTGAAAAGTACATAAAAGAAAGAGCAACGAATCAATATTTTTAGGTTTGTTCTATGCGTTATTTTTAAGAGAAAGTGATGGATTGCCACATATCCCACATGCATGATCTCATGTCAATGAAACTATATACTAAGAATTAATTTGGGGCTTAGTTCATTTCAATGGTACTATTATTTTTAAGAAGTAATATTTAATTTATTAATATATATATATATATTAAAAAAAAGATTTGAACATTAAATGAAAGAGGAATCATGTAATAATTATTGAATCAAATGGTTGATAACAATGCTAATAACTTTTTTTTAAAAAGGGTTAATTGCATGTGGGGTTCTTAATAAGTTTCATGTTTTTATTCCAAGTTTGCAAGTTAATATTTGGTAAGGGAATGTGAAGGTTTTTATGCATTTAGCCACTAAAAGAATGTAATTAAGAGCATAAGCATTAATTATTGATCCTATTAATATCTTGATTAGGTGCATATATATTACATGCCAAAATGTAACTTAATCCATTCAATGTATTATTTAAAGACTTTGATTGGTTTAAAGGATAACCCAATTGGTTTCGTAAGATGTTGGGATTTGTTACAATTAATCATAGTATATGATTCTGTTTTTAAGTGCAAAACATCATGTCTATGTCTTATTTATTACAAGTTCAACCACCCTCTTTTTTAGTTTCATTCGGTTCAAAATTCAAAGACACTATGTTGAAAGTTCTTGTATCTATCCGAAATTTTGAAAAACAAACTTAATTTGAGCTGCATTTTTTCTTCATGTTTGAATGAAATGAACGTATGCCTAAGTGTCCGTCCATAATGGGCCAGCTTAACTTAGCTTTTTCAATCTGATAAGATTGGAATCTTTTTCTTGTAATAGTTTTGAGTGATTCCAACTAGAATTCTATTATTTAAAGGAAAAATGCCTCCATGATATATGTTTTAATAGAATCTTTATCATGATCTGATTTATGAAACTAACACTCTTACTTGTTCAATCATCTAATTTGACAAGAGAATCATTTCTCATTTTTATAAGTTTTCATAATTTTCTCAGCTTGATATGACATATAGTTGTTGATTAAGGTTTGAATTAAATGCGCATTGAGATTGGTTATAATAAAATTGAAAATAATAATAAAAATTATTATTTACGATAAAAAAATTCAATGAAAATTTTATATTAAATGAATTTAACTGAAATTAATATTTAAATTTAATTAATGATACGATGAATTCAATGTAATGAAATCCAAACCTAACTTAAATAGTAAATTTTTAAAACACTATTGAAACTTGCATTTGGGAATCAATGCGAATGCTTTTAAGATAAAACCCTTAAATATATATACTAAAATTTTTTAAGTATTTGTCTTGTACAAAATGATTTTTATGCATTGTCCATGAAAATTTTAAATTCTATAAATGATAATAAAATATTATTTTTAATTTTTACTATCAATATATTAAATTTTTTTTAAATCAACGTATGCATGACATAGATCATAACGTATATGACCTTAAATGAAGAAAAAATAAAGCTTAATTATCAAACAGTACATATTTATGGTAATGGTATTCATAACAAGGAACATGTATAAGGAACAATGATTATTTGACAAATTAGGCTAATTATAAATTAGAACTTTTCTTACAATTGATTTTTTTTTTTTAAACTTCTTACAATTGATCTCATCCTTGTGCTTTGTGGTTTTGTCTTTTGCCCCTAACTCGAGTAATTACTATATATTGAATTAATAACAAAAATGTAATGCTTGGCTCAAGAAAAATGTGCAATTGTGATGATTGATGGATGAGAAATTGAGAATCATTAAAAAATAAATAAGAATGCAATTAGGAGAAGGAGGGAACGTGGATTCCATGATCGTCGGTCCCTTTCTTCCGTAGTCGTTTCAGTACAAATTCCGTGAATACAGCTTGTCCTTTTGATGCTTATGTGGCCGTGTCTTTTTCTACACAAAAGTATATTACATTATGTCTTATTAATTATTAGTATTTATTGTTGCTTTCCTTTCAATTAAATTAACCCATCAATACTTTTTAATAATTTTGGATCGAAGATTATGATTATTTAAACTCGAATTCAAATTTTTAATCTCATTTAGTTATCTAATTAAGATATTGTTCTCAACTTTTTTTAATAGTTAAATACTAATTTCTCACCTAGTTATGTTAATGTCATTTATATATAAGCAAATTAAAAATATATCAGACAAAAAATTAGTAAAGAAAGGGAAAGAAAGCCAAACTCAAACATGTAAATAGTTTAAAGAAGAAATTAAACTTAAATAAAATTTGAAAATATTTATAAAAAAATCAATAAAACTTTAAGGTAAAGAGGACCTAATAGCTATTTAAGAAAAGTTTTTAGCCAAGACTACAATATCTGAAACTTTGGGGAGGTTAGGAATACATAGAAGGCTTAATTTGTTGCAAATATATAGTGCAATGAAACTTCCTAAAGCATTTAATGTCAATTTATTAGTCATAAAGTTTGAAGATACCATTTCCTGTATTAGTACGTGAAGAAATTAATTCACATTAAAAGATCAAATAGTAAAGGGATTGGACACAACAACCAAGTACAACATAGCTTTAATTGTAAGAAAATGATCTCTTTTTTTTTTTTTAATTTAAAAATCAGTGAAATTTTTCATTATTTCCTCTAAAAATGATAAATGCATTTTCAATTAAATTTATGAAAAATATTTATTTAAATTATTTTTATATTTAATTTAAAATTATTAAATTTCAACTATAAATTTAATTGAAAATCTATTTCTCACATCAAATAATGAATTGAGAGGATCATTTTCTTTAATTGAAAGTACTTGACTTAAATAAATTAAAATTAAAAAAAAAAAGAAACAAAAAGTAAAAGCATTTGTCAAATAAAATCTAAATTTTTTGTATAAAAATTTTTAGACATTTCAATAAAAATTGTGTAATACTTTAAAATTCTTCATATGGTATTGGAGACTAAAGACAAGGGAGCTAGAAAGAATGTTCAAAACTACTACTATTAAATGAGAAAACCAACAAGAGTAACACATTAATGGGTATATTAAAAAGCTTATTATAATATAAGAGAATATTTGTCAATTTTTTAATTTCATTTATAAAATTTATAAAATTTATTCATTATATACAAATAACGAACTACTAAAATTTTGAGACATTAACTCTAAAAATTTAGAGAAAAATAATTTTAACAAATACATTGATTGACATAGACAAATTACATAAATAGTTGATTTATATCAAGGACGTAAAGAATACAATATTTATCTAATGTACCCATAAAATAAATGGTAAAATATTTTATTTTTGAATCACCTTCCATTTTTTTTCATTATATATATGATACATGTAAGTATGGATGATAATGATTCAGAATTGATCACATTTGATTCGATCTTTTTAGAATAATGTAAAGTATTATAAATTTGTAAAATTTGACCAAAATTCAAATCATTTTTTAAAACTAATTCGATTCAAATCGAATTCTATCAGTTTTAATTCATGAAATTTAATTTTTTAAATTTTTTTTTATATATTATTTTAATATAATTTTTAATATATTTAAATAGATTGAAATATAAAATAATTATCTTTATTTTATAAAAATTTAAAATATAGATAAAAATTAATAAAAATATATAATTTGGTTTAATTTTTTTTAATTTTTTAATTATTCGATCGAAATTTTATATGAACATAATATATATATTTAATATTCAAATTTAATTTCAATCGAATAAAAAAATGATTCCAATAGAATTAAATATTAAAATTTTGAATTAATTTTGAATTTTTTAAAATTTTTTTCTCGTCCTTACGTGCAAGTAAGCCATAAGTCCAAGTACGTTAATAATAAACAAAAACTTAATTTTGAAAACATTTTAAAACCAAAAACTTATAACTCATTAACCAAAATGAGTACTTCGAACAATTTAGTAGGCCATATCAAAAAGAAAATTGTATGTTTTTTTAATGAAGGAAGTGACAATTTGAAATAAAAAAATTATAAGAATTAAGATTTGAATTTTAAATTTATGAATATATCTTTTAAAGATATATGTGATTATATGAAATCATGAACTAATTAATTTAAAATTTGATTTTAAATAAAAAAATGATTTTGCATGAATATTAATTTACTATTATAATTAATTTTGAAAGATCATTACTTTTTTATTTGAAAAAAAAATTAATGAAACTTTTGATTTGAACACGAAATATATATTTCCAAAAATAAAAAGACTATAAAAAATTTGTTTACAATGAGCATCCATTTGATTGGGCTTTACTTACCGGACCACCAATTACAAGTACATATACCATCCCAAAATCAACCTGTAATAGCCCACGATCCATGAGGCGGTGTTGCGGTCTTAGGTCATTTTCGTAATTTTAAATAACCAAAAGCCCCTACTATATAAACAAAAAAAGAAGCGTGAATTCAACGATTCAAAAAAAAAAAAAAAAATCACAGAGCCAAAGATTTTCCGTCTTTATAATGGACATGTCAATACTTACGTGTTAACTCTCGCCTATTTCTCCAAAAACCCCAGAGGCGGCGTTGCTGCTTTCGCCGTCAAAACATGGTGCGATAATCTTACCTGTTATTTTTGGTTTTGTTTTTTTTTTTTTTTTGTAGAAAAAACTGTTAAGTTTTGATTGTTGGTTGATTAATTCTCAGGTGGAGAAAGACAGGGGAGCTCTGTCTTCCAATGTAGGCAAAAATGGAGTGCTGTGTAAACGTAAGTCGCATTCTGAATCTGATGATGATCTATCTGATATCGACGACGCCAAGGTACGTTTCTCATGAATTTTTTTTTCTTTTTTTCGTTTTTTTTCTTGAATTTTAATTTCAATACTCAATGCATTGTAGATTACTAGAAGAGGGTCTATCGGAACTAT